TATATATATATATATACACACACACACACACACACATGCACGCACACACAGATAAACATATATAGCATACAACATTATATATATATATTTGTGCATAAGAGTATTTTCAGACATAATCACTACTTTTATTAGGTTTTGCATTTGCATATGACATGATCAAAACCTACTTTATCATAGCTGATTTATAGATTGCATCCCACAAATTTCATTATGGTGCTCATTTTTGACTGCAAAGATCACAAGCATTTTTAAGGCCATTTAGCCTTTTCTAATCATATCCAGACATCTTGGCTGAGTTCATACAGCAAATGCCACAAAAGTCAGCAAGTTTCGTACCATTCCAATAAAGTATAAAATGTAAAAGAAGAATGAAAAACAAAATTTTTGGGTGTGATATGTCGTAAGGGTCGTAAGGGCGACTGTGTAGATAACGTCCGACACTCGATCGCAGGGTTTGGTTAGTGACCCGCTGCTGCTGGAATGCCCAAACTAACCCTCTCACTAACTCAATAACTCGATCTAACCGAACTCACGCTGCTGGAGGAATGCAGGAGCTTGATCAGCTGAGAAACGCTCGTCGTGTCCACATGTGTTCCTGATATACGGCCCGTGCTTGTTTGGACTTCAGTGGTCACTCTGAGCTCTGAACGCACTTCCAGAATCAGCAGCACATCAAGTCAAGTCACCTTTATTTATATAGCGCTTTTAACAATACATCACGTCCCTTTAAGAGCAAAGACTGCTGGGAGATTCTTCATGGAGTTACTCTGTAAATCAGCTATAAATAAATAAGAGAAGTTCACTCGAAATTCACATTCATGTCTAGATTATTCACAAAAATCAATCAATTTGTAAATTTACTGCTATGAATTGTATCTGTTATATATTTTACGCAGGCGATGGGAAATGAACAGCTGAGGAAGAGTGGCGTGCATCAGATGGCTTGATGTGGTTTTGATGGTTGAGTTGGTTGATGAAGTGAAGGTGAAGGTGTAGAGACCGGTTCCCCTTCGGGAACTCGAGCTGCGTCGGAAAACGCTACGTTTCTTCTGCTGTTTCAGGCCAGAAGCTCGGTGGATCTGGAAGGACTTCAGGCAAACAGCAGCTACAGTGTAGAGGTCCAGGCCGTCTCATACTGGGGTCAGATCCGACTAAAGAGCGCCAGAGCCTCCGTTCAGTTCAACACGCAACTCCACAACCAGACAAGTGTGAACCAGCTCACCGCAAACATATATCAAGAATATAGAATACTAATGTACATTGTAATATATAATACAATTATGCAATTAATAATAATTCAATTCAAGTTTATTTGTATAGCGCTTTTCATGATACAAATCGTTGCAAAGCAACTTTACAGCAAATTAAGTTTCTACAATATTTAGTGGTAGCTTATCAGTGGTATAATAATATAAATAATACATATAAATGTATTTTCATGAAAGTGACATTTAAAAAATAAATAGTGTATATAATAGATACATATATATACAGTGGGTACGGAAAGTATTCAGACCCCCTTAAATTTTTCACTCTTTGTTATATTGCAGCCATTTGCTAAAATCATTTAGTGTATGTGTGTGAGTGAGTGAGAGAGTGTGTGTGTGTGTGTTCGTGTGTGCGTGTGTGTGTGTGTGTTGATGGCTGTTAATTATTTTGACAGTTGAATTTTAATTTAGAGAATGTCTATGTACAGTATATATATTTATATATTTAGACATTCTCTGTATTCAAATTCATATATATGTATATACAAATATATACATCAGATATACTAAATATTTTTCAAATATATTATATATTAAATATGGTGTGTGTGTGTGTGTGTGTGCAGTATATAAATATATTATGTATTAAATATATGCTAGATACATTATGTATTAACTGTCAGAAATATATATGAAATAAATCAAATATTTTATAAATCAAATATATATCAGATATATTAAATATTAAACATTTGTTAAATATATTTTATATGAAATCTTAGATATATTATATATTAAATATGTCAGATTAACAAGTTATGTAAATGTAATTAAAATTAAAATTCTAAGCTGTCAAAATAATTAACAGCCGTCAAAAGATATTTTAATATTCACAAATATTAAAACAAAATTCTAGTAAATAATAATAATGATAATAATTAACTAATTATAATAATTAAATTATAGTAAAGTAAAAATCTAATTCAAATAGTCAATGTATGTATTTCACTAAATAAACATAAAGAATATTAAATCACATTAATTTACATACACCAAAATAACAGTTCATATGAATCGATTGATTGAGTCAGCGTTATAAAATGATTCAATTGAAAAGTTTGAACTGATTCACAGAAAAGATTCAAACATATCTTACCAGTTTAGAATATTACAACAAGTCTAGCACTTTTGAATATTAATTTTAAATTTGTAATATATTGCGCAGCCTTAATAGAGCAATAATATAGTTGTGTTTAAAGAAAATACTATTTCAAAATCTCACTTTAATTCAGTGTTACGTGCTTCTTTTCTAGTCGTTTCTGAGTGGATTTGTTTCTAGATGTCCACATAAACAGTAGAAGTGGAGCTCAGCTGGTTGTTTATATCTGTTTCGTGTGTGACGTGTTGATTTAGAGGCCGTATCTAAGGCTCCTGAGCTGGGTTTGGTGTCGATGAAGCGAGCCGCCGGCGCTCTGGAGGTCGGTACGCCGTATTATCAGGACAGACAGCTGCAGGTCCACATCTACTGGAAGAAGAGAGGAGGTACGAGCATACAGCAACACAACGTCTGTGTCTGCACAATTCAGAACTGGCTTCCTTTCATTCACAATTAGATTCAAACTCCTTCATTTCAGTCTTCCAGTCTAACACTGGTTCCAGATCCTGCGATTCTTTGAATCGGTTCAAACTTTTTAAATGACTCTGAATCGGTTGATTACTCTGAAACAATGAATTAATTCATATGAACTGTTATGTTGGTGCATGCAAATTCTTCTTAGTGAATACATACCTTGACTGTATATATATATATACACTAGTTTGGGGTCAGTAAGACTTGTAATGTGTTTTAAAGAAGTGTTTTCTGCTCATCAAGGCTGCATTTATTTGATAAAAAATACAGAAAAAAACAGTTATCTTGCTAAATGTTATTACAATGTAAAATAATGATTTCTATTTTAATATCCTTTAAAATATAATTTATTTCTGTGATCAAAGCTGAATTTCCATCATCATTACTCCAGTATAAAGCGTCACATGATCTTCAGAAATCATTCTAATATTCTGATTTATTATTAGAATTATCAACAGTTGTGCTGACAAATTTTTTTTTTGAAACTGCGATATTTTTTCTGGATTCTTTGATGAATAAAAAGTTAAAAACGAACAGCATTTATTCAAAATATAAATCTTTTCTAACAATATAAATCTTTGCTGTCACTTCTTATCAATATAACACATCCTCGCCGAATAAAAGTTTTAATTTCTTTCCAAAAAAAAGAAAGAATATAAATGTACCGACCACAAGCTTTTGAACGCTAGTGTATATTGTTAGAAAATAGATAATAAATAGATAATAAATCAGCATATTATACTGATTTCTGAAGATCATGTGACACTGAAGACTGGAGGAATGATGCTGAAAATACAGCTGCGTATCACAGAAATATATTACAGTTTAACAGATATTCACATAGAAAAACTTTATTTTACATCATAATAATATTTCACAATATTTAGTTTTTTCCTGTATTTTTGATCAAATAAATGCAGTCTTGATGAGCAGAAGACACTCCTGTAAAAACATTAAAAATCATTCTGATCCCAAGCTTTATAGGTAGTGTATATATTTAGTTTTAGAATAATTATGCCTGTTTATTTTTTACATACAGTACATGTATTTCTCTAAAGTTCAATACTCTCAAATTAATTAACAGCCATTAAAACAACATTTAATTATAATTTAATTATTTTATACCACAACCTAGAAAATTGAGGATTATTTATTCATTACCATTATTATTTATTTATTTTGTCAAATTTAGAAAAACGTCTAGTTGTTAAGCCAGTGAAATGCAGGATGACAAAATATATTTTATTTATTTAAATATCAGATCATTTTATTATCACCTACAGCACCACAAAATGCCACCACATTGTTTTCAGGTACATAAATTAATATTTAACATAATTGACCAAATTAGGAGCGTTCTAGGAAATGAAGTGTTCATTTGACATGATTTATTAAATACATAAATTAACTACAATTTTAAATGTATTATTAATAGCATGTGATGTTCATGTATTTGCTGTTTATGGGTGATTCATAATAAAAAAAGAAATATATTACTAAAAACTATGTTATTTATTTAACTTACATTTCACATCGTTACATTAGATTTTTCTTCATTGCATCATCCGCCTCAGTTCAGTCTGAGCTATTGATGCGATTCGTTCGGAGGTGTTGCGGGTTTCTGCTGACTCAGATCCTGCTCTGGGCTTGTATTCTGCCGGACTCAAAGCATCAGCTCAAGCTGAACTAATCTCACTTCTGCTTCAGCCAGCAATCACACACTCACACTCAGATATATTCAAGCTAGGGATGTGCAAAGTGTGACATATCTTTGTAATTAGCTGGTCTTTCTAAATGACTAGTTCATAATAAAGTGAGCTGCAGGATGACAAAATAACTTTTTATAGCCCAAACTAAAATAATTATTTATTATATATTTTATTAAAAATATTTATTATATATTATATTATATTTTTTTCATTTATTTATTATATATTATATTTTATTATTTTATATATAATGATTATTATATATTTATTTATTTATTATTTTATTTATTTTCAGATTTTTTTAATTAGTCTAATTTAGAAACATGACTAGCTGAAAAAACAGCAAGAAAAAAATGCCTTGAAAATTTTATTGCACAAACCAGAACATTTTAAATCATTGAATTTTTTTCCTTATTTTTAGTTTAGTCAAATTTAGAAAAATTACTAGTTGATAAAGCAGTGAGATTCTGGAGTAAAAAAAAAAAAAAATTATATATATAGCAGAAATACCAGAAAATGTAGAATCATTTAATGATCTAATTAAATGTTATTATTTTATTAATATTTATTTATATTTTAAATTTAGAAAAATCCCTAGTTAATAAAACAGCTAAATGAAAAAATAATGTGAACATTTTGTAGCACAAACCAGAAAATATAATATATTATGATTATATATATATATATATATATATATATATATATATATTTTATATTCAGTTTAATTTAGAACATAGACTGTGACATAAAGTGAGATACAGTATGAAAATGTGAGAATATTTGGAATTTAATTTATTATTATTTATCATTGAATTTATTTTTTTACTTTTTAATTTAGTTTAATTTAGGAAAATGACTTGATTATAAAACAGGAAGATGCAGGATGACAAAATATCTTGACATTTCTATTGGACAGACTACACTATTTTAAATAATGTATTATTATTATTATTAAATTTAATTAATTTTCATATTTTATTTAATCTAATATAGAAAAATGACTAGTTGATACAACAGTGAGATGCAAGATTTAAAAAATGTGAACATTTTGAACAATTTAATTTATTATTATTTATTAATTATTTCATTAATTTTCTACTTTTTAATTTAGAATAATAAAACAAAGACTAGCTGATAAAACAGTGAGATGCAGGATGAAACAATATCTTGAACATTTTAGAACAAAACTAGAAAATTTGGAATAATTTAATTTATTTATTAGCTACCGTTTAATGCATTGTTTACTTTTTTATTTAGTCGAAATTTAGAAATAAATAAATGGCAAAAAGGTGTAGAATTTGTATAGCTCAAACTGGAAAATGTAGCATATGATATCACCAGAAGACAAACGCTGGATTTGGACGTTCCTCTGAATACGGCGCGAGAATGAGCGTTTTTTTTAGCTTTCGGACACTATATTTTCTTCTTCTCCAGCTGCGATTCCTTTTTTCTGCTTCCAGAAATGTTCTGAGCTTCGCGTCGGCTCCGTCAAAGGCTCTCTTATCTGCAGTCGAGTCTAATCTGAAAGGTTTCGATTAGCGCAGCGAGACTCTACTGTTCTGTAATCGCCGGCGCAGGAGGAAACCAATCAAATGAGACTCGTGCCGCTGTTCACTTTAATGCCCGATTCCAAGAAACACGCGCAGGTACTTCATGAGGATAAACGCTACATAGAAACCGTCAGGAACAGTTCAGCCAAACATTAAAATGCTGATATTATTTACTCTTGCTGTTCATGCAACTCGCATCTTTCAGTGATTTTAATGGTATTTTTGGGCCACTATGTTTCTGCTTTCTTTTTGTGGTTCTTCTCGTCTTCTCGATTCACTTGCATCGTCACATATTGCATCATTTATATATATATATATAAAGTATTTATGTAAACATCTGTAGATCAATATTTCTGTTTATGACAAGTATTGGGGAAAGTTACTTTTAAAAGTAATCCATTACAATATCGCATTACTCCATGAAAAAGTAACTAATTGCAGTACTTAGTTACTTTTTATGAAAAGTAATGCAGTACGTTACTTGTTGACACCTGGGCTTTTTAATAACAAAAAAACACCAAAAGTTATATTTTTGGCAACTGTAAAGACTAAAAAAGTTACTTAAAAAGGAATCTGATTACGTAACTCGACTGTGTATTTTTTTTATTGCATACATTTATTTTTCTTTTATTCAATTTAGTCTAAATTAGAAAAACGAGTAGTTGATAAAACAGCGAGATGCAGGATGACAAATAGGCAAATATATTGAAAATATTGAAGATACTTGAAGATAGATTTAATTTATTATAATTTATTTATTATTTAAAGTTACATCAAAAGTAATCTAATAGTAATCAGAAAGTAGTCTGATTACACATTGTATTTTTATTTAACGCTTTGATAATTTTGTTGTTTTTGTCATTAGTTTTAGTTTTTCTTTTAAATGTTTACATAGTTTATAGTTATTTTTATTTCAGTTTTAGTTTGATTAATTTTGTTTTGTTTTTGTAATTTTTTATTTTTTTTTTACGTTTTTATTCATTTTTATTCCAGTTTTAGATAGAAATGTTGCCTTAGCATCTAATTGAAATTTTTACTGAAAGTATAACAGTTTTTATTTTTTTTTATTTTAGTACCATTAACATTTATTTTTAGTTAACATTTATAATTTGTCAATTTGCATAAATGTTTTTTTTTCAGACAATTTTAGTTAACAAGAAATAAAACAACTTTTTAGTTGTTGAGTTGTAGGAGATTGAGTGACCTTTTGAGCCCATACCAGTGTTACTTTATTATCATTGACATACTATTATAGATTCTATTCATATTTTAAATTAATTTTTGTATTTTATAATTTCTGTTTTTCCGTTAGTTAAAGTTTTATTAATTTTATTGTTTTCACTTTTTTTAAATTGTATTTTTAATTTTATTTTACGTTTTAATTCTTCTAAAGTTTTAGTTTTTTTTGCATTTTTAAATGCAATTAATATTTTCCGTTTTAATTTTAGTTAAAGTTTTAGTAATTTTGTTGTGTGTTTTCACTTTTATTTTAATTGTATTAGTTTTATTTTCCATTTTAATTCTTAAGTTTTAGTATTTTTTTTTTGTTTCCACTTTTGTTAGTTTTTTTAATACGTCTATATAGTTTTTATAAATTTTTATTTCAATTTTAATTTTAGTTATTTTAAGTACAATCAACTTAAACTATATTAAATTGAGAAATGTTAAATAAAATAAAATAAGTTGTTTATATTTTATTTCAAGCACTGAAGAAGTTTTCAAAATGTTTAGTCTTAGTTAACAGTAATAACCCTGGTACTACACTCTTAAAAATAAAGGTGCTTCAAAAGGTTCTTCAAGCGATGCCATA